GAACCAGACCTGCTTCTGTTCTGCGAGTGTCTAAAGATGTACAAACATGAACTGACATAAATGTCGTAAACCTGAATTTTTTTTGATGTAAACTGCTACAGTGGCTGAGTGTTTTTGTTCCATTCTTCACTGTGCCTTTGACTTTTGGCTCAGTTGTCAAAATAAACTTTTCCCAGTAAGGTTAAGACCTACCTGCAACATGACAGTACTTAGGATCCAGTTTAAAATTATGTTGTGTTTATTTAAAGGAGACATCCTGCTTTTAAATSCTTCTTTTTCACATTTAAATCATTCAGTTGGGGTCTATATAAAGTGGAACTGCAATGCTTTGGTCTGAATTCCTCCTTACTGTAACTCCACAAGCCCCTCTTTCCCCTTTTTTTCGCCACTAAATTCAAGTTTTCTGTACTTCTAGAGACTCCAAGTACACAACAAAATGCATTTAACGACTAGAAAAGTGTTGAGCTTTAATCATTTTAAATCAATGCTCCAAAGTTCAAACCTATTTCTTCTTACTGGGTTTTAGTCCTTTTTCAGCTTTTATTGTGCAAGTTTATTTTAAAACATTTTTTAGGGTATTTTTATTGTCACTTTGTATTCACTGCTGACGTACAACRTACTGTTCACACTTTGCACAGCACTTCAGTCACCTGAAGGTGTTCCTTAATGTGTTAAAGTAAACTTTGACGTGTGACACGACTCTGTTAGGAAAACTCTTCAGTGGGTTTAAACAACCAAACCGCAAACCACAGAGTGCAACTCCACCGTCGACAGAAATAGAAATGCAGAATTTCATCGAGGCGCGTCACCTCCGCCCCCTCCGCATTCTCGCCTCACATCCTCTCATGTGTTATTAATGGACGAGATCCCACGGATCCACTCCGTGTCACCTCAGCCGAGAGTGAGGGGGCAAGAGGGATAATAAAATGATAAAACAGCAGAAAGCCAAAACCTTCTGCCTATTAAACAAATCCATCCCTGCGAGTTTCACTATAATCTCGGTCTGATAAACTAGCTACAGTGTTATTACTGCTGCCTGTCAGGACAGGTGCCTGCTGAGATGCTGCTCGCTGGAAAATACCGACTGATATGATAGTCTACACTGTGAAAACCTGAGCTGTGCCAGTTACTGCCCATCTCTTATGTTATCAGAGCTGACAGAGCTGAGATAAGCTGAGGAGGCTGGGGATGCATACCTGTGCTGTAAAGCACTGCAGGATAGGATTTGACACCTGTCATAACTAATATGGACACGAGAATTAAGCAAAGTGGAGCACAGCTGACTGATGAGACCGACTTAACACATGGAAGATAGCGAGTGAAGATACCTAAATGATGTAGAACACATGAGAGCAGCTCGCAGAAACGGAGGCACCTGGAGTCCTGTGTGAGTGATAATGAGAGAGGTTCTTCAGTATGAAATCGTCACTTCCAGCCCTACAGGTATTCAAATATCTGTTTGGGCTGCAGCTGCTGATTTATCTTGCTAATTGTGTGATTACCAAAAGCTTAATTTGCTGTATAAAGAATTTCTTCTGGGATTTAGTCCAACGTTGTTTCCCACAGGTGTGTGAGCATTTTCAGTTGTGTGTGCGCACCTCCCAGGAGTACAAGTGGAGCATGATAATAAAAGAGTACAATATTGATGGTAATAAAAATAACATTAATTAGCAGAGTCCTTTTAACAGTACTAAGGGGTAATTTTACAATAATTAAAAAAAAACTTATTTACAACAATATCACTTAACATAAAAAAGCACGTCAGTGACATAAATTCAATGTGTAATAAAAAAAAAAGTTAAATTGATACAAGAGGTGTRATTCCCACTCACTTTGCCTCCAGAGCCAGAGCGATGATCCCAGCAGCCAGTGGGGCAGAAGCAGATGTCCCTGTGTGAGAATCAGTGCATTTCTGCCTCAGGTCTGTGGTCACCTGCGAGAAAAGAAAAGAGAAGAAAAGAAAAGAAAAGAAAAGTGGACACAAGTACAGACGGAGACACACACTTAATATGATACATTGACTTTTCCATTTGAACACAATTTCATGGAGAGAGGAGCTGAGTGTTAAGACAGGAGACAAATGTGAGCTTTCCCCGCAGCTATCTGAGCAGGAAGAAGAATGAGGAGGAGGACAAGGAGAGAATGATTTGGTAGTTTCAGCCTCAAGTCTGTGGACGCCTGCCAAAGGGTCAGCGGCGGGACGGTGAAAGTCAGCCAAACCGTCCCAGCCGGGTCAGACGGTGGTGAGYTGGAGGAGGTTAGAGCTCCGTGTACGTCTCTGCTCTCGCAGCCTGTCAGTGCCGGGGAAGCTAATGAGGCCTGTCTGGGTCATGATGAGGACACATCAGAGATGACAGAGAGGCCTAAAAGCTGTGAAGGTTAGGGATGCAGTCTCTCTTTGCAACTTTTGCCCTGACAGATTGTGGCGCTAATGATTTCCAGCTAAAGATGTCGGAGCGTCAGAGCTGTAAACATGTGGGGAGGGACGGTGTCTGCATAGGCCAAATGTCAGCCAGCAGAGCCAGCTTCTATTTCACATTTATTTAAAGCTGAAAACACAAATTGATTCAGAATTAATAAAAAAAAAACATCAGAAAAGGGGAAATCATTTTTGTGATACGTTGATGAGTCATCAACTAAAGATCTAACTTGTGACAGTTTATTTTAATGTATGTAGAGAATTAAAATAAGCTAAAAGCGTAATTATCATTAGCTACAGCCTTGTACTTTTTTAGTGTGTTTTTTGTTTGGAAACAATTACTAAAGCACTTTGTTGCAAATTGACGTTATCGGAGGATTCAAATTTGCCAAATTTAAAACGTTTTGAACTCCATTTATTCTGTGCAACAACTGTATCAAAGCGATCTGCCCTGCAGGGCAATTAGTGAACTCTGCATTTTTCAGCATCTTAATGGTAATGCTTCTATTTTAGAAGTCAGCTCCATTTTATTATTACTATATCCAGATACCACCAGAATTTAAAACAGCAGAGGTCAATCAATGCAACTCCGCTTCATTAGAGAATGTGATATTTATTTAATGAGGATTTCCTTTGGCTTCCAGTTGCCAAAATCTGTTTTCTCAAGAGACAGCAGGTCACAAAATCTCTGCACTAAGTGAGCCATGTCTGAATTCTAGTAGAATGTTTTTGCAACCCTGGTTTTCAGCTGTAGTAATCATCACAATACACCACAGTGATTGTAAATACTAGTTTTGAACAAATGCGAAATGGGACGTAATCGTTATTCTTACAAATAACTGCTTTCTGCTGCTACAGCAACAATACGAATTTAGTGCTGCTTTATTTAAAGGGGGAAAAAAACTTTAATTTRACCTGCTTTGATGAAGTGAGTTTGTTTGCCTGCAGCATTGCTCTGGTGTATTTCCTTCAGAAGGGCAGAATCACGGTTGTTTCATGTTTTTCTGTGCCCCGGAGGCAAGCCTTTCATCAGCCGACAAGCAGCTTAAAAGAGGCGTGAGGCATTTTCAGTGTTTGTCCGCTTCCCTTGTTGCACGCATCTGATGCTTTGATTTTTGACAGTTTGATGCTTATTTTTGACACGACAGACAAAAGATTAATTTAAAGACACACTAGAAAAGCTTTAAGGATGTAGCACTACTGATGTTTCGCAAGCATGGCTTGTATGATTACTTGTTGACGTACTGATGCACAGTGTACAACAAAAAGAAAAAGAAAAAGGGAAATCCTATAGATAAACAGTAGTTGTATACGTCTGAGTGTGTCTGCACTCACTATCTGTTTCTCTCCTGGGTTTCCAGAGCTGAATGTGGTGGCGAGAGTGGAGGAGCAGGGCTCGCTGTACCACGGCACGTTGCCCGACTCCGTGGCGCTGCTGATGGACAGGGTGTAAATGCTGTTGGTGTAGCCGTCACAGTTGCAGCTGTCCTGTTCTCGGCCACCGTTGCCTGAGGCCCAGACAAAAATAGAGCCCAGTCRGCTGCGTCCCTGTGGTGCAATAACACAAATACCTTCACGTAAGTCCAGAGGAAGCAAAGAAGTAAAAAAAAAAAGGAGACTGACAGAAGCTCGTGGATGTGCGGGAAGAGCTGCCTTTGACAAAGATGTTTGTTTCACTGCTTAAAGGACTTGTTATTTATYTGCTTTCTTTCAGAAACACTGAACCGCTGTAAGCACAGATCTTGTTAATACATCACTATGTCGGGAGGAACATCAGATAGCAAATGTAATTATCATAATTATTCAAACAGAATTTGAGGGCAAATAAATGACGAGATGATGTTTGACAGTAAAAACTCACACAAACACACGCATGCCTATTTTCCACACAGCATACATTTAGTCAGTTGCTAATAGCAGGTTAGTGATTTTGCAGGGTTATTACGTGTCAGATGAATTTTTGCCAACCCTTTCTGCAACAAAAAGCCTTCGTCGCCTCAGAAACGCCACTATGATTAGATTGCTTTATTTGTTCTGAGCCACGCAAACACTTGTTTCACGTACTTGTCTCCAGCTGATTGAATTACTGTGAGGCTTTCTTTGCAAGCAAGCCCCAGAAATCGGTTGATTGATTTTAGTTGGTGCTAAACAGATGCCATCATATTAAAGGGATCCCCGATTAGTTGTAACATTAGACTTTATTTAATAAACTTACACTTTAACTGTAAAATAAAGACTGTAAAAATACTGTTTAGTTTTTATAATTTTTAAACTAAAATTTTAAAAATATATTGCACGGACGGGGCCATTTTATTTACACGCAAAGCATTCTGGGTAAATGATGACGCGGATAGGTCATCGGTGCGAGGCTGCTAGCGAGCTACATCCACCKTGAAGGTTAATCTTGGACAATATCTGATGATCGACTCTTTTAAATGAAACCAGAGAGCATTGACAGAGAGAAAGTAGAAATGACTCAGGCTGCAACTGAAAATTTGGATGGAGGACCTCAGTTTAGCTTGTTTATCGCGCTAGCACCAAGCTAATACATATAAGGCAATGGCTGTGTCCAAAACGGCAGGACGGGTCCTCCGGAGGACCCAGACTCCCCGGTCTCGGCGGGCCGGGTCCTTGGTAGACCGGGAAGACCGGAAAAAAAGAGGATGTGGATTTGGACGGTCTAGCCTCCCCTCCTTACCCCGGCGTACGTCTTGTCACCTAGCAACTGTGACGACGCTAAACAAGCAAACTTAAATCAAAACTAGAAAAATATCAATACATTAGCATTATTAATATCACAAAACTATAAAATTAACTTAAAGGTAACATTAGAAGAACTAATTGACCCGCTGTATTTCGCGTTTTTTATGACGAAAAAATAATATGTAAAAACATGTCCATACAAATGATAAAAGTATTAGAATTACAACCGCTAATTTTTTTTAATTTTTATATCACCATATTTTTATTTAAAACGTATTCTTTTCTCTCGCTTCGTCCGCCATTACTAGCTTAAAAAAATCTCCGGTCGGGCCGCAATGCATTATGGGATATGCTGGGCCGGGAAGGATCCATCGGACCTGTCCTTCGATTCGGGGAAAAAGAAGGACGTATTTGTCGGACGCATCGGAGGAGTCTTCCGTTTTGGACGTCCTTCGTCGCGGCGCTGTGACGTATGCGGCCGACAAATTCGACCTTCGGAGGACCCGTCCTGCCGTTTTGGACACAGCCAATATAGCATCAGCGCTATCGCAAAAGCTAACAGGCTAAGCTGAGGTTCTTCCATGAAGCAGCTCTGTTGTCCTCCATCCATATTTTCAGTTCCAGGCTGAGTCATTTCTACCTTCTCCTCTCTGTCAACGCTCTCTGGTTTCATTTAAAAATATTGTTCAAGATTAACCTTCAGGGTGGATATAGCTCGCTAGCAGCCTCGCACCGAGGACCTATCCATGTCATCGTTTACCCAGAATGCTTTGTGTGTAAATAAAATGGCTCCGTCCGTGTTAAAATATAGTTTTAAAAATTTACAAAACTAACCAGCCTACAGTATTTTTACTGTCTTTATTTTACAGTTAAAATAAATGTTTATAAAGAAAAGTCTAATGTTACAAATAATCAGGGATCCCTTTAAAGATGACATTAAATTGCATTTGTAGAATTTTGTTTCCATCCTCTACTTTCTTTCTTGAAGGTTCAGGATTTTCTTCCTACATTTGTTGACCTTACTGCATCTTAAAATACTGCTGATTGTAGCCTGGAGTCTGCTGACCGGTTCTTGCTGACTGCCGAGGCTGTGCTGGAGACAAAAAACAGGGAATCTGCAGTCTGGGCTCCACAGCTCAGAAACAGCCTGAGGGGTTGGCGAAAAACCTTCAGCGTCTTTTTGTGAAGGTCGTTCAAGCTTAGTTTCCAATGAGCCTTAATTGGTTTTACTTCAACCGTCAGGTTTTTCCTCTAAAGAATCTCTTTACCCCCCCCTCCTTTGTCAGACGCTCACATATTTCTATTTTTAATTTACACAACACTCAATTTTCCATTGATTAATTATTATGCATTGTCATTCCCAAATCAATGGAGCAATTAAAGTTAAATCTTCCATTAATGTGTGAATAGAGCGACTCGGGCAGGTTAATTTTCACAATATTCAAGACAAACGCAAACATTGTTTTCATCTACAAACTCAGAAAACATGACAATGAATACAACAACAATCTATCAAACATTAATCAGGCGAAAACAAAAATTAATCATAAAATGTCTACACACAAAACAAGACATGCAATAATATTTATCAACAGAAGATATGTCTGTCTTATTACTGGGATATTTACTATCTTATCATCAATGTTGTCATGCAGTTTTCTCTGGCAAACATAATCAGTGAAATGTTAAGCTCATAAGTCTACAAAAGAGACCTTAATTGGACCCTATAGACAGATTTTAAATGAGCTGGTACAGAGTGTTTTATATGGATTATCCGTTCAATTTTCCTAATTGATTCCTACGCCCGTGTCTCACAAAATGATCTCTTTTTTAGAAGATGGGATAAATGTGTTTTTGCTGAGTGCATGATGTTGTCTGAATCGAACTGAGTGCTCGCACCCGAAGCTGAACACAACACTCCTAAACCATCCGGCTCAATTTATGACCCGGTGCCGCTTGTGCCGTGGCTTTACAGAGCCCAGATGAGAACACTTTGGTGCCAAGCGTTATCTCGCTGCCAGGAGAACACATGCTGAACCAGAGAGGTCCTGTTGTTGTCGCTGTCAGGTAATTTTTCTTCCCTAACACACCATGATATGTGGAGCAGATCACATTTGGGGATGTGATATATGAGTCATTCTGTGGCACAMAAAATTTGCAGTTTCATTCATTTACATGCCAATTACCGCTGCCTTTGAATCGAACATCTGCATCTGACTGCTGCTCCGTTTCTATTTTCTTCCATCTCATTTCTATCATTTAGCTGCAACGCTYAAATCCTTTGATGCAGGATTCTGACACATGAGCGATGATGGCATTAGACTTCGGGAATATGCCAAAACTCTTTAATGTCCATTTCTACTTGAGCTTTAAGAAAAAGTTGATTGGCAATTAACAAACTCACCTTGAGTTTGTCCTTCACCACTGGACATTGAGAAACATTCTTCATTAATACATATATATGATGATTTATGTGGGGAAGAGATGAGCTGGCCTTAACTTACGTAACAAGGATACTTAAATAATCTATCACACCAAACTTTTTACCAAACTTTTTTTTACTGATGGGAGACATTTCCATGTGTGTTTGTGGTTTCAGAGAAACAGCTTGACATATTTAAAAACATTTATTTGCTCCAAGAGGATCCCGCTAAAGTCTGCTCCCAARAGTTTTACGTCTTCTATCCTAGCTCAAACTCATCATTTTCTATGCAATACAAAAAAAATCTCCACCCAGATATCTTAATAATTTATCTTTTTTAGAAAATAATTGCTTAGGAATCACCCAGAGGAACAGACATGTTAACTCAAAATATCCATCTTAAATCTCACTTTGAATTTTTATGTAATTATTGAGCTTTTGATATATTCATAAGCAGTTTTTTTGCCAATAGACAGATATTCTCATGCTATCTCCATTTWTTCTAAGCAAAGCTAAATAACTAAATTAATCTTCTTCAATGCTTGTGAAAAAGTGATTTAACATCTTCCAAAGTGATTCATTACTTTAAATTACTGYTGTCTTTTTGGTTCTAATATTTTAACTGAAAAACAGAAGATATTAAATTCCAAGTAAGGTGGAATGCCGTGTGAAAAAAAAAGGTAATAAAACCAGAATGCAGGTTATTTAAAACCCAGCTGTGGAAGAAATTATGTTGCAACATGATGAAACYTCTGTAGAGGGTCTACTTCTTTCATTTGTTTTAAATAAAAATCTGAATTTTATGAGTTGAAAACAGCTCAACAAGCATCCTCCTGTGTTGATTTACCCAAAGCCTCGCAAAAGCCCAACACTAACACAGAACATGTTTACTACCGTGTTACATCACCTCCAATTTTAATGACGCTCAGAGCTTTTGGGAACTGAGAAGACCAAATGCTGTAAGTCGCAGCCCTCTGCAGTGTCTCTACATGCCTCAGTACTGTGAATAAATGCGTAGCTCACGATGCAAATGAGGCTGTTTAAAAGCCTGTTTGGGACTGGTTCCTGTACGTGGCTTCACTTTAGGACTCCTCCTTCCTGCTGTGACTTATTGGAGCAGTGTGTCTGTCCTTTAGTCAAATTCAGAATGCCAGCTGATCATCTTGCTGCCTTTTAAAGCCCATTRGAATGTTCCTTCAGCCGTGGCTGTGATTTAACGTGAGCGCTTCACCCTCAACACTTAGTGGTACATTTACTTTGTAGCTTGTGTTCATAATTGGTTGTTCTTTTGTCCTGTCTTGTGTAAGGTCTCAGTGCTAGAACTATTTGTCATGTAAGACCTAATTGCCTCTTAATCATGCTTTGTTTGAAAAAACCCAAGGAAGTGTCAGGCATAATGTTCTTGGAGGCAGTTATTATGAGGTCTCCCCATGGACTCTGCACCMTGACGTAATGACCACCCGCTGTGCTGTCTCATTTGCTGTCTTTTGAAGTAGAATGTGAAATGTACGAAAAATGCATCAAATGAATGCAAAGAATTGAAATATTGACACGTCACGTACATGGGTGCACACTAAGATGTGTTGCAAAGTAAAGCATTCATTTATACAGATTTTTTTTAATGAAAAAGTGCAAAAATGAAGCTGGCAGAGGTCTGGCATCTACAGATCATGCCCTGAGAAAATAATCATGACCATCCAATGACTTATATGCTTCTAGAGTCTGTGTATTAAATGGGACATGTAAAAAAATCACTCTTTTAGCCATTAATTGCATTTTGTTGTGTACTTGGAGACTCTAGGAGTGCAGAAAAAATTGAATTTAGTCTATCCCGGTGCTGCGTAGATATCTTATAGTTCTCAACACGTTCAGGTTTTTTTTATTCTCTATTACGTTTTCTGACTGAATACTGACATCACAGTATTTGCGAAGGAAAGGGGGTGGGATGTGAAGCACCCAGCTTGGATTTAAAGAGACAGCCTCAAAACGAGTTGATCTGAGGRACACCTCAGAATAGGAGTGAAAGAGGGGCTTGTGGAGCTACAATAAGGAGGAATTCAGAACAAAGCATTGCAGTTCCACTTCATTTAGACCCCCAACTGAATGATTTAAATGTATAAAAAAAGGATTTAAAATTACGTGAGCAGCTATTTTGGACTTAAAGGAGACTTTTAACTGTATTAGGACAGAAATAGTTTGGRAACTTTCCTTACTGTTTGTACCTTCCACACAATTATTTGAGATTGAATCCAAACTAATCACCTGATTAATTTAGCAATTCATTTTATATTTTTATGTTCATGTTCTAAAAAAAATCTCTTCACATCCTTGATTAAACTAAAACATCTCAGCAGCCCTTTATTTAAATTTAGTTTTAATATTTACTGAATATCAGCAGGTCTGAATTAAAGACAGAAGAGTTGAATACCTGGAGTTTTACTGAGCCAGGAAGTTACTTTATTGTTTTTAATCAACTTCTTTACAATGAATTTTGTACCTTTCCTTGGTGGACGCAGTGACAATCTGTGTTTCCTTACAACACTGTCAGAAATGTTCCCATTATCATGTAGTGTTTTATTCTACACAACCATGTTTGCCTGAATCCATTAAGATTGAAATCACTCAATATTGTTTTTCCGCCATTTCTTTGATTTCCCTTTTTAAAAATGTAAAGCAGCAAAGATAAAATCACTTAATTCTTTGCCATATTACATTTTAAAGTGTGGAACTAACTTCCATATTAATAAACTACTTTCCATTTTTACTGCTAAAATTATACTTTTTAAAACCTAATCACGGAACATACTTTCTGTGAGCTGACTTGAAATTAGCTTCCATGTTTTATGGGATTTCTCTTTCCAAGTTATGTTAGTCTTTTGTTGRCACTGTCTCTTTTTAAACTGGAAAGGAGCACGGTTGTGCAAGTTTGACCATATTTTTCTAAGCTAACCTTGGTTATTCCTTGGAGAAAAGCTTCCTTGGCCAGTTTGGCAGGACCGTCCAGAGACTTGCCATCATCCTCTGGGCCCCAGCTGGCGCTGTAAATGTGGATGTGCTGGGGGTTTAGACTAAGAGAACGAGCTTCCACCACATCTGTCACCTCCCCGTCCAGCATACGAACTCCTGTAAAATGAACAGAAAGCACGGCGCAGATACGGTCACCAAACTGGAGCAGTGAATACAGAGCGGCAGGATGACAGTGACTTTGTGCATCATAAGACAGGTTGAGAGATAAAAATCAGAGGGACACAACAGAAAACAATGAAATGGCACAAAATGACAAAATATATAAAAAAAGCCGAAAGAAACGAGTTAGAACTAATCTTCAGAAATAACGAGAAAAACAACAAACAATCTGAACAAGAGACAAAAAGGATTTATTGGAAAAAAACAAACACTTCACGCTGTTCAGGTTTTGTTGAACGAGTCCACAAAGCTTTACCTGCAAACGCCGCTCTGGTTCGTACAAACACAGCTTCGCCCTCGCATGAATAGTAATCCTGCTGTTTGTTAAACTCAAGAAGCCTGTTTCCTGCCCCCCATGATGATACAGTGATACAGAAAGGATAAGCAGACAAATCGGACCGAACTGCATATACATAGAAACGAGCTGGGGTTTTATAGAACCTCCAACAGAGCAGCGGGTCCACAGGGTAGCACTAAATGTCACTTTTCATGATACCTAAACGCAGCGCTGTCTGTGCCTTTGAAGTCCGCAGCCTCAGATCACTCCTCCGAACATTAATGGCTGCAGAAAGGCATGAAATGCGCCTCCCTCAAATAAAGTCCATTACCGGGAGAGAACCCGCGGACAACAGAGGCAACATTATGAACTACGACACTCYCATTAGGATTTTTTAGACAAAGTAAGCCAGCAGGGATGCTGACAAGGCAGTAATTACTCGGTGGGAGAATCGGCGTACCACAAGCTTGAATATTGAACAGCCTGTAAAAAACTTAAACTGGCAACATAAAATGCAATGTTTGTTCAGTGATCTTTATGCAAAAGCTTTAGTGTAGCAGTAACGATGATTAGTGTCGTAACAATTCCCATCAACTTCCTGCGGCTTGACAATTTCTTATTAAGACGAGGTGGTGTGAGATTCCCGCAGCTACACTGAGTCACAGGTAGAGATGCAGCTCTGAGGGTGTGTGTGTGTGTGTGTGAGTGCGCAGATGGAAGCCAGGGGTTAGGTTTTCAACATTTCACTAATCATCATTACCCTGCAAGGACACACGCATTCAAGGATTTGGGCAAACATAACCGCTTCTCCTCTCTCACATGTAAACACACACTCACACCACGAGCATTTGACGGGAAATCACAGCTGTTTATAAACAATTCACTGACCCCACGACGCGAACAGATTCACCGAGGAGTTATTTATGAGATCAGGGCCAACGTGCGGCTCAGTCGGGAGATGAATGGTAATGAAGACAAAGACGGGGCGTTATGAGTAACATCTGCGGACGGGACTGCTCAGGGCTCCACAGGCTCCGCTGGGCCTTGTTGGCAGCCATCGCGGCACTGACAGATTGCTAGATGACAAAAGTTACAAAAAGCCTCCTTGGAATACTCAATCAGGTGCAAAAAAAAATTTTTTTTTTCAGGAAACAAACAAAAATCTTTCAACCCCTAATTTCTGATTGATATAAATCATCTCTCATTATGCAGATCGGAGCCCGCTGACAGCTTTATCACTCTTTAAACAAGAATCTGCTCTGAGAGTCTGGGAGCCTCTCTTAGGCAGGTAATTTGATGATGAGCACTGCATTGTGAAGCGACTTCTCTTGGCATCAGACAAAACTGAGCACCCTGCATCTTGATGTGTGAGGAACTCGGCTAAACACTCGAAAAATTGAACTTGCTTTTTTGATCTAATTAGTGAAATAAAAGGTTGAAGTTTGAGGCAACGGGCCAAAAAAAGCCTGCGTCACAGTGAAATGACTTACCGGTAAATTAAATCAAATTCATTTATATTACCATAAAACAACATGATTGCAACAAATCGCAATATGTTAAAGCTTTGAGTGACAAAACATATATTTAGATGTAAACTACAGCAGAATGGACTATAAATGGTCTATAAAGCAAAGCTACTTAGTCTCCAAATAAAACCTGCAACAGCTCAATGTTAGCTGATCCTCTCGGTGGCTCCGAATCAAGGAATATTCACAGTATTCAGCTGCTGTTGTTCTGCAGAACACTCATACCTTCAAGATGGACTCACACAGTCAGTAAATGTGTCTGTGGTGCATAAAGTCACATTAAGGATACTGGCTTTAAAAGCCATCACTGTGTGATTAATAAAATGTGACGATAAAGCTCCAGTAAAACTGCCGTGATGACTCAAGAGTCAAATTAAAAGAGCCCAAGCAGAGTGGAATTACTTTCCACTTTAATTAATATAAATTTAAAGTTTATTGTGCATATTATTTCTAATTTATTCATATCAAAGTCATTTAAATGAGTTATACACTAATCCCTCATTGTGCTTAATTAAAAATATAAAAGGAATGCTCTCAATTACCTCCAATTCTTGCATTGTAGGCCACACCAACGCCACACACTCCGTTGTTGGCTGCAGCTGCAACTTCTCCTGCGCACCGGGTCCCGTGTCTGTGAAGAGGAATCATTAAAATCCATGAAAAGAGAATGTAAAAGAAAAAAAAAGATTTTATGATAAAAAATATCCCCACATAAATAAAAGGAATGCTAAAGGGAGCCATTAAAAATGAATCTGTGTAAATCCCTGAACTGTGCTGAGTTTTCTTTTTTTAAAAATCAGAACTGGAGCTGAAGTGGTGCTAAAAAGCCACCAGAGATAAGAGCTGAATATTGACCCCATTGGTCCTTTTGTAACCACAGCTCTCTCGTTTCTGCAGCGGTAACAATTGGGAAATAAATAAATAAAGAAAAAAAAATTCACCAGTGCAGAGAGCTAACACTTTTGTGTTGAACACGATAAACATCGATGCATCGAGGACACGAGACGTTTCTTTTTCATCTAACACAATGACACCAACGACCAAAACCCATGCTGCTCTGCTGAGCTGCATTAAACTGAAGAGGTTACAAAAAAGTCAGAAAATGAACATAATTATACAGACAAAAAGAAAAAAAATCATTGCAGGGGCACAAGGGAAATTAAACTGCACAACACTTCAACTAATTTATAATAAACTAAATATATAACTACATGGGCTCAAGGTTTTATAAATTTTAGAGATTTCCAAAGATACTTCAGTGTTTAGTTTTTATTCAGTTGCTTAAAATAACAGAAGTTTTACAGTTTGAAAAACAGAAATCTTGTGTTTTCTAATGAAAATGTGCAACATTTTTTATAACGGTTCTCAACAATTAAATACCTGCTTAAAAAAACAAACTTCATATTTGACCGACTTATTTAAAATAAACTGTTTAAATTCAACTATGACCACTAATTTTAAAGCAGTTTGCTCATGTGTATCCACTGACGACTAGTTCTTTTCTTTGAGTAGTAATTATGTGTGATTTAAGTACTTACAAGAAACCCTTGAAGCTAAAACCTAAGAAAAAATCCTCTGTTAAATACACGTACTTCAGGGAGACTTTCTTTCAAATTCTGCTCAAGTTTTGAGAGAAAAAAAGGGAAATCTTTTCTCCTGTGAGACCGATTTACAGGTGAAAGCCTCGTCTAATCAGAAAAACTGAAACAAACACATTAAATACCTGTCAAAAAATATTTTTACCTTCTCAGTGAGAGTGGCCATAGGCCACCTGAAATGAAAAATGTATTATTGATGTACTTGAATTATTCAGTCTTTCATTAAAACTTTCAACCTTGAGTTTCAAGAGATCAGACAGGTTTTTCTATAGAGTATTAGTCAGATGTCAAAAACACCAACACTTCACAAACAAAAACCCTCTCAAATCCTCTAAAAATCTATAGCAAAACCTCTGCAACTCTGCATGATTCCACAAACCGACAGGGTCATTGGCGAAATYGATTTGTTCTGTTTCACTGCTGTTTGGGCTCGAAGGGGTGTGATCAAACTGCAAATAGATGAAGCACAATGGAAGTTTGGCATTTAACACAGGTCATTAAGAGAACTGCCTGATTACGGTGCAGATATCTGATTAGAAAGTGGCTTTCACATCTATTTCTGAGGTGTGCTCTGTGAATGTTATCGGAACAAAGCCAATTACATCAACAGCACTGTTTCAGACGAGCCAAGAAAATTACCTTCGTTTCAGATGAGCCAAAAAAAAAAATTACCTCCCTCTTTGTTCTCCAAACCTGCCTGATGATGAGGCAGAGGACACAGTCTTTTCACAGGGTCACAGCAACACCTCCAGCTGGAATCCTGATTAGATTGCTCGGCCCTGTGATATATTATCAACCTCTGAACTCTAAAATCGTTCCTGTTTTACCATTTTTTTGGTTATAAACGCAGGGAAAAATGATACACGAACAACAAAAAAGAAAAAAAATCAATAAAACCCCACCTAATCCCAAAATCCCTTTGTGTTGTGATGCGGCCTGTCAACAGGAACAAGCACTAAAGTGGTTTTTAAACAAGCAATCAACTTGTCTGACGAGGCGTATTTTTCTCTGGCACATATGTCCTTACACAAGGACCTCAGCACATTTGGCAGGGCGTAATACATCACAAACGTAATTAAAAGCTTAACACTTCTAACAAGGGGTCAAATGTTTTACCACTTGCTAATTTTATACTGCATTAATATCAGCACTTGATGGCGATTTGACATGGCTGTTGAGAAAACTTATGAACCTATGGGTAAAATCCATTTAGATGGAGAGGCCATTTATTAAAAACACTAGCAAGAAGACGGAGCAGTGGGCGATTTTTTTCTTTTTTTTTTTTTTTAAGAAAAAAAGGCCTTCAAAGTTCTGTTTGTGCACAAGAAAACAAATATGTGAAACAATTATGAAGTTTAGATTAGTTGTTCTTTTTTTTAAACATAGGACATTTCCATGTGGATGTGTGGTAATCAGACCTTTTAGTCGCCACCCATTGCTTACTGTTTAATCAGAGCGCCAAAGACCTGCCCACTCATTACGTTTTAGCTCACGACTGCACGCCTGACAAATGTCAGAGTTGCTTCACAAGCTTGTTCTCACAAATCAGTCTTGTTATTATGTGCGGAACAGTCCAAGGTGGGCGGCGAATAGTGATTGTTGATCAGTTAGAAGCATGAAACACTGAGTTGTAAAACCATTTGTATTTGTGTCACTATGTGCTCGATTCCCACGGTATGAAAACGTAAAAAAGGAAAACCTAATATCCAAGGTAGAAGCAAGGTTTATTAGTGGGAAAATTGTATTCTATTAAAACATTGTTCATAATTTTATGCTTTTCTTTAAATAGGAGAAGACCACTGCTGCACACAAGTCTCTGCTTTCATGCGAAGAGGGGCAGTTTCCTTTGTTAGAAGTGGTATTTGAGGTGTAAAATGAATAAATTCAGCTTTCTCTTTTTCACTTGTAGTGCTGCAAATTTCAATGCAGGATGAGACTACCAATAAAAAAAAAATAAAAAAAATTTAAAAGGAGCATGTATTGTTTTGGTATTATTTATTATGAGCCAAAGGGCGTACAGCGTTCCACAATAGCCAGGATCACACAGAGTCAGTAGTGTGACCAGCCAGGTGGCTTGGCCCAGAAAACTGCATGCTTGCAAAATCCATTTGAATTTACGATTTAATAGAACAGCAAACAGCAACTTCATATGTCAAATGTCAGCAAATTAAAGCACCAAGACCATGGTTCACATTTTTCCTTTTTTTCTTAAAGAATATTTGAKAAAAAAAATACTTATAAAGTGATTTATTTGACTGTTATGAGATAATAATCAAACCTTCCTTAGAGGAATAAGGAAAGCATATCACCTGCTGTAAACACCAACAGCTAAGGTTTTAAACAACGTACATACTCATCTACTACTATAACAAATTTTACCCCCACATCTGAAACACCGAGGGAATATACAGCATTTGCATCTCCTACGATCAGTTGGCTGTGATGGACACACCAAAAGTTGTAAATATGCATCCAATGGCTGTTTTGTTTATTAAGAACTGAAATGATTTCACAAGAAAATATGATTATTGTCATTAAACATCATAAAAATGCTGGTAAAATCCTCTATGCTTCAGATGAAGGAGCCCCAGATGTGACGCCAGGCAGAGGATTCAGTCAGGATCGGCACAATGAAGACCGAGCCAGAGGCCTGAGAAGACATTTACAAAGAGGCCACACATGCCAAGATTCAGCTGCTTTGAATATTATCTGCATGTTCACATGTGTTTATTTCTGTGTGTGTGTGCACGCATGAGAGAGAGAGAGAGAGAGAGAGAGAGTGAGAGAGAATAAGAGAATGTGTGTAAGTGAGTGATTGCCCTGAATTGAGTTGAGCTAAAACAGCCAGACAGCTTAATATATCCTGGGAGGAAAAGGCATGCCAGCGCAGACAAAGGGCTTCATGATAGACGCCACAATTTTTCTTTCAAATGTCCGTGAAATTAAATGGTTTCCAGGACACTTTGCAGAATGCCTCCGTTCTTATTAATGCCTGATGTCAGTGACACAGCCAGAAGTAATGACAGGCAAAAATGTAGTTTGAAACAAATTAAAATGTTTAATTTTGAACAACTGATGTGGCAAGATGATAAAGGGGCTTTAAAAAGCGCAGCCCCTCTCAGACTACGACCATCACAACAAACAAATCATTAGTATGTGAACTGGCAGCTGGTAAAGGCGACATAATTTGTCCAAAGTACAAGCAGAGAAAAACCCCTAACAGAGACAAGAATTTGGATAAAAGGCTGCTGAACTAATCACACAACCAAAGTGACCTTCCTTATCTTATAAGTAGTAGCAAAGGGAACTCAGTGAGGTATGCTTTTATCTTTCCCTGCCAGGACAAGGCAGCGTTTTCGATGGAAGCCACTTCGATTGAATGCATTGAGGAATGGAGTCGTGACATACAACAAAATCCCTCTTGACATAATGTAAAGTAAATTGAGAATGCAGACAGATCAAACATGCATCTTCTCACTGCATTCTCCATTAGTCCAACATTAGTCTTAAATCCTAACCTAAAAGCTACAACCTTGTTCACATCTAACAAGARGTGCATCTTTAGTAGACTACTCTGACATGGAACTACCGTTTGTCAAATGATCACAAAGTGGCCCCAGAAGACGAATGTGAGGATGTGTTTTAGTGCCAAGTGTGAACACACTCAGAGGTGTGCACTTGTGATTAGACCAGCCAGGTCTTAACAGCCTCTAAGTACAGGGATGAAAGCACCTTATATGCTCTTAGAGCAAAACAGTAAACAATCGTAAACAACACATTTAACAGACTTTTTTTTTATCGAGTTGGGTACTCATGGTAATTATTAGCCACTTGTTTTGCATAATGCTATTGGCTAGCCGCACAGGAAAAATAAAGCACTTCATTGTGAGTGACTATACTGCCAATTTCATGTAATATCACTGGGTTGAGTTGGTCCCGAATTATAATAATAGGGCTGGCTCACTGATTGATGTGGACACACGTTTGTAAAATCTACCTTGCAGGATTTTGCTGGCATTTGCAAACAGAATAA